TGGGGTTTGCAATTGCTCTGCCAATTAATGTGGCAATATGGATAAAACAGTTTTCAACTGCTTGGAAACAGCCAGGCTTGAGCTTCTGATTCATTTATTGAGACAGATATTATTATTGTCTTTAAATATTTCCTTTTCCACTCCTGCTTTGCTATATTTAGAGGACAGGTCATAGTAAATGTTAAAATCTATTTAGACATCTCAATACTGCAACTCTGACAGAAAGAACAAAGTGTTGGATTTAAGTGGCATACTGAGTACAAAGAATTTCACTCATGTTCCTAAGAAAGGTAAACATCACAAGAATTTGTGATTGTTGTGACTTAATCATACAGGACTTATGATAGGAAAAGCATGTTCAAAGCTAAGGCCTACTATGCAATTATGCAATACAATTAATAAGATAATCAAACCCTTAGAAAACAGAAGTCAAGGAAATACTCATTCCAGTACCATGGCATTTCCCAGTACCCAAATAAAGGAACAAATGAACAAATCATCCCAGGTCATCCCCTTTTGGGCTGATAAACACGTAACAGCCAGCCTGCCCCAAGGCCATTGTGATTCGAGAAAAACTCTAGAACTTGTCATGAAGAGTTTTCATGCATTTTCATTCACACACTTTTGTAATTTTATTCTCAAAAAAGAAATGCTACATACAGCTTTAAATCCTATATATCCATAGGGCAGACTCCAGAGGAAAGGAGGAAGAGTGACAGGGACAGAGCAAGCAAAAGCAAGTGGGTGAGCATGACATGGGGAGAGAGCAAGATACCAAAACTGGGGTATGAGTGCAGACTAAGTGCACAACAACTGAGCCTCGGAGTGCACCCAGCTGCAGGTGAGACAGCAGGCAATGTCAGGGCAGTCTCTATCAGCATGTAGAAACTCCTCTCCAGTGCATGACCAACATGCCCCGTCACACTGCCTGGAGCCAAAGACTGATGACAACTTCCTGCCATCTATCAGCCATATAGTTTGTTCAATTAGACATGGCATCATCAGCTGGTCTTGTAAAGATGGGGCAAACTTCCGCAAGTCAAACCAACTCCAGTACTGGACAGAAAAAGCAACACTCTTTAATTGATAATATTCTCAAAACATTGCTATTATTTTACCTCTTGCTATCAAAAAACAAGTGAGAAAAACACTATATTCAACAGTACTATCGGACAAAAAGGCAAAAAAGCTTTTGTGCACCTGTCAACTGAAGACACAACAGATTACACCTCTGAGTGATGAAGTGGGGAACTTTTTTTTTGACACATCGAAGTAAAAGTGTAAAAAAAATATAAACACTATTTTTACACTGTCTCTGGCAGAAAAAGTTTCCACCTATGTCAAGGGTTCATCTGGTGCAAGTTCCATACGACACAATTAATAAAATATGACAGCTGGCAATAAAACCTCCAAAATATCTCAGCTAACTTTTACAACTGCACACAAGTTGGACCTTAGTGATTCTCAGCCTTTTTCTTCATCGTCTACAGTACATTCCAGAATTCTGATCCAATCTTAGCTGCTCAGCATAGAAGAAGAGGTGCTGGACAAGTATTTTTTAAATTACCTGTGGTTAGTTTAGTTCTGACTTACCAAAGTATGATGTTCGTATTTTTGCCATCTCTTTCTCCCACACACTCCATCAGATTTGGTCACCACAGGAGATATGATTCATATTACTCTTTAGAAATGTATTTTAATAGACTAGCTTTACAATTGAAAGAGCTTTTGAGTTTTAAAATAATCAATCCTTCAGAGAAAAACATATCAGATCACTCTATTGTGCACATTTTTTCTGCAGCAACTTTGCAGAGTCACATTTAATTGGTGCTAGGACTGATTTTTTCTTAGTTGATACCATAATCTAGCACATTTCTTTGAAGGAAAACAAATTCATCAACACATACTGCCAAAACCCAATCTAAGTAGTTCCCTTCACAGAATTTCCTTCTAATAATTTCAGGTAATAGAAGGTATGGAGACTATGAGGAAGAACTCTCCTCACTGAAGGCAATGCCTAGTTATTTCCTTCCATCCACCTGTATATCCTTAGGTATCTACAAAAACACCATGAAAACACATAGGGAATAAACACCCACTGTAATATAGAGGCGAAATCAGGTGTTTATGTGGGTGTATATAAGCAACCAGTTAGAATGCAAATCTGACTTCTGCCAGCACTAGTGGAAATTAAATGCAATTGGGGTGTGGGTTAAATACATCTTAAGAACTCTTTTGAATCAGTTACTTCTGCATATGCAAGTCTGACACTAAGTACTGTAAAATTATGTTAAAACTGCAGGAATTAGCTCTTTGTTGGGAATTAAATTAAAATCTCACCCTTCCTAACACCTTCTGAAAATTCCTTTAAATACACAGAGCAGTAATCAGTACACAAACCAACAAACCAAAGGAAAAAGCTGCAAACACCTGCATCCATTTTTTTAAAAAGAGGAACATGACTGGAAATACTTAGAAATACTAAGAGCAGCATTACTGAAAATAATAGATACCAACCCTCTCAAAGGCTGTCTCGGCATCAGCTTTATCTGTCTTTGGTCTTCTAATCTAAGTTAGATATTTTGGGTTTAAACTAGAGCAAATGAGGGTTTCCAGTTCATAAGATAATGGGAATCAAGGTAAGCACTAGTGGCTAAAGGCATAGATATTACTGAATCAAATTTTTTATTTTTAATTCTAAAAAAAGCTTTACTAGATCAAACAGTGTGGTATCACAGAAAACTTCCCTCAAACCTAGGGACTGCAACCTATTCAGACAGCAAAACCTCCATTTCACGAACCCACTTAACGTGATCTCTATGAAAAGACTTATAAAAACCCCAACCCTATCAGAGGAGAAGAAAACAACTTAATCACCAACCAAACAAAATGCTGTGAGTACTACTTCTCCTGATACATACTTTTTGGTACTTATACAAACTTTGCCATCTGCTATGATCTCTGACAAAATAACTGACTTCCGTTCCCAATCTAAGGTTTCACTATGACAGTAAATGTCTTACATCTAACATTAAAAGCTACTTCAATCCCACTGCAAGACTGTATAGGTTTCTATGGCCATTATAACCTGCTATAAAGTAGTATCAGACTATTAAAACATTCCATCAGAGCACAACTGTTTAATCTACAGAGAGGCTTCATGAATTTTGTATAAGCTTTTCACCATATGTAATTACAAACTTCACTGTGACCATAATGCTATAAAAACTAAGAGGATGTAAAAAAATCGTGAGGATTTCAAGGAATAGATCTCCAAATAAACTGCTGAGGAAAACGGAGCTCTAGTGTACTAAAACAGAGAACCCCCAGACATTCAAAACTTGTTTTGGACTGTGAAGTATACAATCAGAAGACAAAGGTAAGAACCACATGCAAGACCTATGCCATTACTTTCACCTTATAATACCAACAAGAAAAAAAAAACCTACATGGTGGTTGAGGGAAAAGTCTTGCTCCTGAAGTGTTTGACTTAGATCTTTCAGAGGGCATTTTGCATCCAAAGCAGTCTTCATAGTTAGCAGTTATTTTTAATAACCAGGGAACTACAGGCCTGTAAGCCTGACCTTGGTGCTGGGCAAAATCATGGAAGACATCATCCTGAGTGTGATCACCCAGCACACGCAGGGCAAGCAGGGGAGCAAGCCCAAACAACATGGATTTATGAAAGGAAGATCATGCTTGACCAAGCTGATCTCCTTTCATGACAAAGTGACCTGCTTAGTGGATGAAGTTTATCTGGACTTCAGCAAGGTGTCTGACACTGTCTCCCACAGCATACTTCTAGAAAAACTAGCTGCTTGTGGCTTGGATGAGTGGACTCTTTGATGGGAAAAGAACTGGGTAGCTGGCCTGGCCCAGAGAGCTGTGGTTAACAGAACTAAATCCAAATGGCAGCCAGTCACTAGTAGTGACCCCAGGGCTCAGTGGGCTGAGGACAACTGCATGAGGTTCAATAAGGCTCAGTGCTGGTCCTGCACTTGAGACACAGCAATCCCAGGCAGCACTAGAGGCTGGAGGAAAAGTGGCTTAAGAGGTGTTCATCAGAAAGGGACTAGTGGACAGCAACTCAATATGAGCCAAGTGTGCACAGGTGGCCAAGGCAGCAGTATGACAAGCAGGACTAGGGCAGTGACCATCCCCCTGTACTCAGCACTGGTGAGTACAACACTCACACCTTGAGAGTTGTGTTCAGTTTTGGGCCCTTCAATTAAAAAAGGCCATTGAGGCACTGGAGTGAGTCCAGCAAAGGGCAATGAGGCTCAGAAAAGGTCCTAAAACACATGTCCTGTGAGGAAGGGTTGAGGGAGTTTGGTCTGTTCAGCCTTGAGAAGAGGCAGCTCAGGGGTGACCTCATGGCTCTCTACAACTCCCTGACAGGGGCTGGAGAGAGGTGTGGGATGGTCTGTCCTGCCATGGCTGCAGGGAGAGGACTAGAGGGAATGGCCATGAGCTGAGACAGGGGAGAGTCAGATTAGATGTTAGGAGAACTGTTTTCCCTGTTCGGGTGTTCAGGCACTGGAATAGATTGCCCATGGAGGTGTTGGAGTCACCATCCCTGGAAGTGTTTAAGAGGCATCTGGATCTGGCACTGGAGGATTTGGTTTAGAGTTTGGGAGTTACAGCAGAGTGGCAGGTTAATGCTTGATGATTTTAAAGGTCTCCTCCAACCTCGATGATTCTATGAACAGAAATAGCTTGCATTTTTTTTAAAAACAGACAAACAAACAAACATCATCTATACCAGCCTTAGCACATTCTCAAGATAATTACAATATTACAAGATAATAAAAGGCAATTACCTATTAGAATAAAACCAGTCTATTTTGTCTGTTAATTCATACAGCTCAAGGGGCCAGCAAATATAAGCATACAAAGTTTTACCATAATCTTAGAAAAGGGGAACATTTATTTCTTAAAACAGATTATGACACCTCAGTGGAAGAGTTTGGTAAAAGTGGCTTTATTTCACTGTCTCCTACCTGATAAATTCTAAATGGGATGTATCGAAATCCATTATCTTCCGGAGGATACTCCATGAGTTTTCGATTTATTGCCCAAAACTGCTCAAATTTATCTGTGAAGGTAAAATTAGACTTTGTTAATAACATACTGGTTTTGTCTGAACAAATAACGTAACTGAGACATGACTAGAATAACATGCAAACTTTTCTTATGGAAGTTTCACTTGTATGCATTTATGTTCCCCACATTTCTCTTGCCTATTTAGCTTGAAGCCAAACGTAGGTCATCTGTATTTTCATATGAAAACAGTGATGTGGCAGGTTATTGAGGTGAAAGAGAAAGCAACTTGAATTCATATCTTATCTCCCTCTGTTAAGGAAATACTGGGCCATAAATTATGGATTTCATTACCTCAATTAACAGCGCCTGTTTATCCACTCCCTGCTGCTACTGGTTCACACTGTCTCACAGTTTGCTAAAAACACCTAATTGTTCTTAACTATAGATGATCAATAGGGGTAAAGTATAGCAAAATTAAAGGAGAGGAAAAAACTTTTTGAGAGGTTTACATTTGGATATGTAAATATTAAAATAATCTGCAACAATGTATGATATAATCAGAAAATATATTGCCAGATTCATGGTACAACCTGAAAATAAAAGTTTATGCTTGAAACACATTCTTGTCATTATTCAGGTAACTAAGTTTAGTAAAATAGCCCAAAGCAGCACAGTATTTCACCCTGTTCAGACACTGCAAGAACTGAAGAGTTTATTACATTCAAAATGAAGTAAGGATTGCATAGGTCTAAGAATAATAAGGGCTTTTATACAGGCAAATCAATTATTCAAATCAAGCAAACGACAAATAACTAAAGTGATGAAAGGAGCTCAGATGAAAAAGCTGGTCCTAGCCTTACTGGAGAAGGCAGTTTTAGAAGGGGAAGAGCAAGGGATGAATTTCCTTATTTGCCCCAACGCTCCAAGACACGAAACACAGTGATGTTTCTTCAGAAGGAACACAGTGTCTCCCATTTTCCCACCACAGCACAATGTCCAGCTAGGTCTCAAGATGCTGGGCTGTCCACCCATTACAGAACTGAGCCCCCATGAAGCAAGGTGAAATTCAGAAATCTATTCACAGGACAAAGGTTCTTCTTCCTTCCCACACTGCTGATAACAATTAAATCAATTGCAGAAAACAGGAGGAGTTTGAGATTTGCTGCACTCCAGCAGGCATCACTGTCAGAGCACTAAAAGACACAGGTTAACACACATTGCAGGCTTTGTAACACTTGGCTCTTCCTGACTAAATGTTAAGACTAAGCAGGAATTTCCAAGAAACTGTCAACAAACTCCTGCCAGGTATTCTGCAGAAGCGTTTCTGATACTTATCTCAGAAAGTACTTCCACACCCTTGTTTCTTGATTAGCAGCAAGTGCCTCTTGACAGGCACTTACCTGAGCTGCAGTCAGCAGCACCGCAGGCACCTGCCCTAGCTCAGGAGCTGCCTGGATGCAGGGAGTGAGCTCCATGGGCTGGGAAGCTCAGGAGGTGACAGTGACAACCCTGGAGCAGACTGTACTCAAGCGATCCTGCACTTGGGACCCCCAGCCTACAGAGTAAAGGTTTATACCAGGAATGACTGCCTCCTCCTCCTCAGGAATGCTGTCAGTGGAAGGTGAAGGTTTAGCATGCTTCCTTCATCCTTGGGCACAGCATTGAGGGTGTCTCAGCTTTCACTACAGATGTGTGGACAGGCGTCCTAGAGCAGGCATTGATGAATTTGTACTTTAATTACCACCTCTGACTATAAACTCAGTTGATAAAACTATTATGGTGATACACAACACAAAACAAACGAGATCTCCTTAAGCCAGTGAGCTTCAGCAGACTCAAAGAAGATATCTACATGCACGGACACTTCCTACTTGAACAGAAATAAACATTAACTTCATTAACTTGTTTAATGCTCATATTACAGTAATTAGGAAAGTTGGCTGAACAGCTTGCTGTCCTCAAACTTCAACAGAGATGAGGAACACATCTCATGGATCAGAAGCACAAGAAATTATGAACAAATAACAGACTTATAAAAGAAGATTAAGGTTATTGATCCTCATGGCACATATGGCAAACAAGTGAGCCTCTGAAGGACAAAAAAAAAAGTTAAACAGTGATAATGTACAGTTAACTCACTTCTGTTCTTCATTCCAGCTTCCTTACCTCCCAGAAAACATGCAGGTAATCTTATTTAAGGCAGGCAAATTTACAAATTTCTATTTCTCAGATTATTCTCTGAACACTCAGAAAATGCTTAAGACAATCTCTTGTTTAAATTACTAATATTTTGTGCAGTTTCCAACTATAATAGCAATAAATCTGCAACAACTGAATGATGAACTTGTTGCATTTCATAATCAAGTATGTTCTGTCAACCCACCCGATTTCCCAGGAATTAAAAACTTTCCAGCAAATTAGCTAGGCATAATGGAGATACCTTAAGAGAGATATCAGATATCTTAAGACAGATCTCCACCATGTGTACAGCACCATCTGAAGGCCTCTAAGTGAATTCAGCCTCATAAACTTAAATTGCTGCGCTCCAAATATCTTTCCAGGGCTACAGTATAATTCAGCCTCATAAACTTAAAGTGCTGCCCTCCAAATATCTTTCCAGGGCTACAGTATTTTTACTACAAGAAACTGCATTGGGTGTAAGAAATCTAAGACAAATTTTTAAAGCAAACAGCAGAAAAAGGCTCCCCAGTTTGCACACTACATATACGACCTGCCAAGAGCTTTTATTAGCAGTCAGAGCATTGGCTGAATGCCACAATCCTAAAGCTCCAAAAATGCAAAATCCAAAAATAACTGCTTTTCACAGAATCCTTAAGACTCAAAGCTTAAAATAAACAACCAACCCCCAACACTGCCCAACATCCTTCCCCAATCCCCTTGAAAATATAAGTGAATGGATTCATCATTCTCCCACTTTGGGGTGTCAGTATTCCCTATTTATGCAAAACAGACTTAGGGAAGCTATTAATGCCACAATGAGCTATAAGAACTAATTAGTTTGCTGGCTAGACAGGACTTAAAGACAAAGCGCTGGCCAGAACTTTGACAACTGAAACAAAACTGAGCTTTCATCAAGCCAGTAAACAAGGAAGAGTTCTCTACCTATCAGCAAAGGCACTTCACACACTCATCTTCCTCCCTGTGAAAAGCTTTTGCAGTCTGTATGATATCTAAACTGCTGCAATAGTCAAATCTCATTACTTTTGTTTTCCACAATCCATCTGTTTTTAAGAAAGTGCTTGACCGAAGTGTTAGAGAGTTTCTGTATTAGCAAAAACCAGTACTTGCAAAAGGCAGATGTTCATATCTGAATAACAATACTTGAAGTAATGACAATAACATTTGAACAGAAGTGAGATTAGTGACAAGTTTCATATGACTCTACTAACCATATTTCTTAAACAAGAGAAGATGGTTGCTATATAACTGAGATACAAAACCTGTGCTCTTTGTATTTTATCAAAGATCAGAAACTTACTAATAACTGAGGACAGATCCAGTTGAAAAATGTATCAGCTAAGCCACGTGTATTTATATATATTCATTTATTAGAAATGCAGTCACTGAATGCCCAAACACCACACCGACACTACCCTTGAGTACTAGAGCTGCACAGAATCTAAGGAGAGCTTTAAAAATAATCTATTTAAATAATTAGAAAAAGTATGAGCTGGCAAAACTACAAAGACAACATCATCCATGACAATAATCTCAGTACACAAATTCATTAAGCAGCAAATTGAACCTCATACATAAATTTACAGAGTGCTACATGATGCATTTAGGGTTCAGAAACCTATCAGTGTTTATGACTTGAAACTGCACATTAAACCAGTTAAACAAATTACTGTTACAGGGAAACTCTACTGAGAATTGTTGTTTCCTCCATTAAGTAAGACTGAAGATCCTGTAGCAGTCATGGAAATTAATCCAACTTTGTAACTGTTATATTAAAAAGTTGTTGGTAATTCCAGTCAGGGTTTGTAACTGCTGACTGAAACTTTTACTACTGAGCAGTGTAAACTAAGGATCAGTCCAGGCTGAAATTTTGAAGCTGGGTCTCTTTTTCAGGCCGAGACCTAGGGGTAATGTTCTTCAGACAACCTGAAAAATTAGTCTCACTCCTGCTAGCCTCCTACAGCCTTTTTCTGAAACTCAAGTGCTGTCACACTTCAAACGACTTGAAATTTCACATGGATCTTGATGTTAGACACGTCTCTCCCACCCACCTGACACTACAAAAATGGTAACCAGGATGGATCACAGAGAGGGTAAAGAGCACTGCTCCAGTGTTTGCAATAAACAACATGCATTTCAGTGCACATAGCTTTAAATCAGCATACACAAACAATAGGGGCAATTATCACAGAATGTAAAATTACATCTACAAGTAAACTGCAGTAAGACATGCTCCTAACAGAGTACAGGCAGTTAAACTGGAGTTCCCACTGTAGTACAGAGGGTAAAAAAAACTAAAACAACCCACCCTAATCCTTAAACTTACCTAAAATACTTTAATAAGGAATTATTTTGTATCTATATTTGACAGAGATGCAACAGCTATCGAAGTACTGACTGCAGAACTGGCTTTATTTCAAGGCAGCTGTGGAGAGGGTTTAAGTAACAGAAAATGCATAAATGAGGGAAAGATTGTTTAAATTCAGAATGGAAAAGTAATTCATAGCTTTTATATTTCAATATCTTCCTAGAAAGTCAGAAATTGTTTAAATTCAGAATGGAAATGGTAATTCATAGCTTTTGTATTTCAATATCTTCCTAGAAAGTCAGAAAGGAATAAATATAGCTCTTGGGGTAGCATATCTGCACAATTTTGTCTGGACTATTCGTGATTTCTCCTTAAAACAATTTAGTGGTTTAAATTTGTTAAAAAAGTTTGCAAACAAATTGTATCTCCAGCTCTATGCAAGCAATACCAACTTGCAACTTGCATAAAAATGCATCCAATCCTTTAAAAACACATTAAAAATGCCTGTTCTTACTGGTTCATCACTGTCTTACCAACCATATGAA